GATCCCTTCTGTTCAGGTGGTGAGGATCACACATGGGAACTTCTCTGTAAAAAAAAATAAAAAATTCATTTTTCTGGTTTGGAACATTTTCACACGCCGCTTGACTCACTGTACTGCGTGTGGGGGACGACACGGAGCTATCTAGCCTGGAAAAACCTCCACGTATCCTGAAATATACTGCCAAACGATCAATTAGAGGGATAGTTCACCCAAAAATGATAGTTTGCTGTTAATTTACTCACTCTCAGGCCATCCAAGATTTTTTCTTGAGTGGAACAGTAAAGATGTTTTTAGCTGAAATGGTGGTTCTTGGTGATTCATAAAATGCAAGTCAATGGGCGCCGGAACTTTGAGAGTTTTTATGGTTTCTCATCATGGTTTATGTAAAACGGTGAGCTGAAGACTGGTTTATTCACTTTATATGCTTTAGACATGTAAAATATCCACGTTTCACATCATTATTGGGTGCTTTAATAATATGATCGTGTATACGTTTCGTCATTGCATGATTATGTAGACGAACTAGTGAATTGAACCAGTTCAATTAATCAAACTATCCGAAAGAACCAGTTCGTTGAAAAGAATCAGATTTCCCCATTTGCATAGGCTCTGGATTACAGGTAATAATGTTGTAAATAATGTTCAGTTTCTTGCACACTGATTATTTCGCTCCATAAGACCTCAATATATCATCAGATACCAGGGGTATTAATTTTGTGTTGCCTGTATTAGAGGTCGACCGATTGATCCGCCGGCCGATTAATCGGGCCGATTTTTGGCATTATTTAATCTGCCGATTGTTCTGCAAAACAGACTGTTTCGAAAGCGTAATTACGTTTTACTCTACTACAATTGATGCCGACCATGCTTATCATATTCATAAGTGCAACAAGTCATTTGCATGTGAAAGCAGAAACACGTGCAATTCAGACGAAACTTCTGGGCTGGCTAAATCGTGCACGTTACCTTTCTTCATGAAATGTGTCTGTGGGTCCGACAATAGCCTCCACGATGTCATCGCTCGTGGTCAGTGCACTCTTAAGCAGTTATGAGCAGCAGACTGTGTAATATGTGTGAACTCTTTTATTTCTGACTCATAGCAGTGTCCAGTGTTTCCCATACATTGAGTTATTTGTGGCGGCTCGTCACAATATCAGAACTGACCGCCACAAATAGATTTTCCAAAAGGCTTATACTTCGTTGAATAAAATGAGCACTGCACGTTTCAAAATTAAAATGCATCGCGGGTGTTTTTATTTGAATGTATCATTGAAAAGAACTGACCGTCTTCAGAAAAGCTTTGATGCCATTTTCATGTCGTCTTTCCCAGCGTTTGTGACCGCAGCAGCGTTTATTAGATTACAGCCGTTACCGGGGAAAGCACTATATCTCCGAGAAAAGCTTCGATGTCATTTTCATTTCGTCTTTCCTGTAATACCTGATAAAGTAGCGTTTGTGAGCGCAGTGCTGATTTGATTACAGCGGTTACCGGGGAAACCACTATATATGGCGTTATTTTAATGACAAATGTCAAGAGCGCATTATTGTAGCACGAAAGAACATTAATATAATGCGCGAGTCTTTGTCTTTACACAAACTGCTTAGTGCTGCTCAGAGACGGCATAAATGCATTTACGCAGCAATTACAACCGTTTACTTTAATACAATAATTAATATCTATAGCGCATGAGCACAGAGAGATTTGTGAGTGCACAGGACACAGTTTGAGTGAGAGGAGAGACACGTTTTAAGTGCACGCACTCTCTCCGGGCGAGAGCAGCGTGTATCTGAGCGCG